CTCACAAACCACCAAAAAGAACAATGCTTAATGAATTTCCTATTGTAGTGTCCCAGAATTAAAAAAAAAAAAAATTGAGAATCAGACTGAACTGATTTGTGACAATACCTGAAAATTCAGAGAAATCCCATCCACACCTACTTGTCTGCCAATCACTTCAGTAGCACTGTATTTAGTATTAGCAAGAAAAGCTGGCCAGAAAAAAAATTATTTCAGGCAGATAAATAAATGAAAAAAAAGTAAAACTCACCAAAATATAAGGAAACTAATACCTGGGGGGAAAATGTAAATATGTTTTCTGTAGTCATGAAGATTTGTTAAGTCTGCTTAAGGGCTAAATTAGGAATTATGCTGTACAGCTGCAGTGGGAATATCAACACAAGGTACCAACACAATCAAAGGCTACATATACACCATAGCCTACCCAGTACAGGGGTGGCTACGGAGTAAAACAATTCCTGCAGAGGCTCTAACATGCCCACTGTATGAGTTCCAGGGTGTTTGTTCTGGACTGGCTTCTGACTGGCCCCATGGAACAAAAGCCTGCTGGCAGCTGGAGAAAATCTCCTGGCATAATTTCATCCAGAAGGAGCCTAGTTCACATGCTTAAGCAGTACTTGGAAATATGAATGGAAGAACATAAAAGGCTGTTTAAAGAGATCTGCTTTGGCAGTGAATTCTTGATCAGAATTAAAATATTATTGCAATACACATGCTAGTACTAAAAAAGTACTTTTGTTTAAACATCGGTCTTTTGCAAGGGAACTTAAGGGTTTTTATTTTCTGGTTAACAAAATAAATCTAGTATGAAAGGCAAAATGATTAGAAGTTCATACATATAAAATCTCCCAGTTTTAGAGAACCTGGAGATACCTGATTAGTGGGAAGGCAGCTGCTGGAACAACGAATGGGAGGCAAGTTATCTTGTCTTTCATTTGGTGTGTCTGTTCTCAGGAGCTGTGATTTCTTATCATCTTCATTCATTTCTGCCAGCCAGCTCTGAAAATAAATAAATAATATATTTTTACCTTAAGGCAGTAGAGCAATTATCCTTAAAAAGCACTGCTCTTAATGGGGAAAAGCAATTAAGATAAAGAGCAAGAGTGCTTTTTTGAATAAAAAGTGATCTGCAATAAAAATAGAATATGTAGAGTTAAAATGAGCAGTTAATGTTCAGTGACATTAAGCAAGAAAATAAATTTTAAAACACAATCCTTTGATCATTTCCTCTTTTAATCAAATAATTACATTCTACTTTGGCACAAGAAGAAGATTGATACATTACAGTGATTATATTATGGACCACTATAAATGAGATCTTGTACCATCAGTTCACTATTAATTGCTTGCCATTCTTCAGCTGTGAAATCAGAAGCTGTGGCTGCAGGCTTATCTTTCCTCAGAGCTCTGCTCCTTGGATCCAAACACTCAATTCGCTTCTCACAAGCCAACGTCAGTTCAGGGTAACACCCCTCCTCACCAGACCTTTAAAATGCAAAGACAGAAATGTTAACAAAAAAGAACAGCACCACATCCTCCATGTTTCCTTCCATGTGTAGTCCATACAGTGACTGCAGAGGACTATTTTCCTGTTACAACCCAATTTTACTAACATCTAATAACATTTTTATTAGAAAATCACAGTTAACCTTCAACCATTTTCCAATGCCCACATACACAGTTCAAAAGTTATCACCACAGTGCTCATTAAAAAGAAACTTGTGTCATTTAAAGCAAAAGTTAAACAGGTGTGGCATCTGAAATTGCTAGTCATGCATGCAACATGGATCATGAGGGAACCAAAACAGAGTGGCAGCATTGAAAAAAAACCTAGCACTGAGCTACTCAAGCTTTTGGGTGGTTAAAAAAATACTTGGATTTCAAGTTATATTGGGACACTTTTAGCATGATCACTTTAACTTTGTACTTTAGTTTTAAATTAGAAAGTCACAGACAGGTTCAGACAAATAGAAATGGGTTTCCTTCAAATTTTACAGAACAGGAATGTAATTATTAATGAAGGTAAAAAAATAAATTTACCTTAATACCTTGAGAATTTTTTCCAGGTGCTTAACATCTGTGCATTTTTCAATGAATTTGTAGTCCAGATGACTAATAGGTATTTGATATGTTTTAGTGGTTCCTTCACCCAGAAAATATGGTACTGACTCATCACCCATAACTAAATATTAAAAGAAAAAAAAATTATTCTGTAAGCTTCTAGTTACATTTTGAAGTAATGCAAATTTAAGGACTAAAATTGCTCACACTCCACTCTCTCATGCAAGCAGACTTGTAAAAGAAAAAATATCAGATTTGAAGGCCTGATCACATTAACTGTCCCTGAGAGTTTTACAGGTTTACAGACAGAAGTATAAGATATGCTTTGTAAGAGTATGCAACTCTACTGCAAGTCAGAACAATTCAGAAAAACCACTTAAAAATTTACCAATTTTTGCCTAACACATTCTCTGTTCTATTTAACAAATACCTGTTTTAACCAAGTGGGATAATCGCAAAGGAGAAGACAGTGAAGGACACTCCTTTTTTCAGAGGGGGGAAGACATTAACCAATGCAGCATATCTAAAGAAACAAAAATCTTTGTCTTCTCTGTAGACAAAACAAATTCACGTCTCTTTCCTCAATGACTGCATTTTCTGGGTCTCTGATTATGTTACACACGAATCTGAATCTTTTCCAGTAAGTCTGTAAACGAAGAAATGAGGGATTCAAATAAGACATTTCTGTCTCCCTGTCCCTTTGATCTGCTCATCTGCATCTTTTTCTGTTTTGACCACAAGCTCTATGGAGCTGAAATTCTTTCCCCCCCCCCTTTTATATAGTGCACAAAGCAATCAGTTAATTTTGAAGAAATACAATAAGGGCAACTAGCTAGTATGTGAAAACAGCTATGTGTAGTTATAGACCAAATTAAAATAATTATGCTCTAATGTCTTGCATAATTACGCACAATTATTTGTAGTTATACAAAAATGTTTACAATACAGTAGCACTTAAATAATAACTGGTAATAATTAGGTGTTGCATAGAGATTCTGCCCCAAGACTTTACGGTTTCAGTACTGGAAAGGGAAGAAGTCGCATGGAAGAGGGACAAATGGTAGGAAATCATTAAAGAAGACTAGAAGAATTAAAAGCTCATCACCACCGGCGGTTTTTCCCGTTTATTCCCGCGGCCGGGAGGAGCTGCCCAGCGCAGCTCTCGGGCACCGCGGTGCCCAGGGTTCGTGGTGACCCAGCCCGGCTGCAGTACAGCCTCCCCACACAGCCCCGGCAGGCTCGGGGCTTCACCTCCAGGCCGGCCCTGGGGCTGCCCTGACGCCCCGCCGGAGCCGGGGTAGCGCGGCCGGCCCGTGCCTGGCAACTGTTGCTATGTACAACATGGCGCCGGGGACACGGCGCTGCCCGCCCCAGGGATGCCCTGCCGACGTTCCCGCAGAGCCCCGCCGGGCTCCAGCGGCCACACTGCCGTCGCCCTGACGTTCTTCGGCACCCACCTGCCCGGGGCCGCGCTGTCTCCGGGACACGGACGCGGCCCTGCCCACACCGCAGCCGGGGCCGCCCGGCCCTCGCCCAGGCCGCGCAGGCGCAGCTGGGCTCAGGGCGGGGATCCGGGCTGAGGGGAGCGCCTGCCGAGGGCGGGCAGAGATGCAGCGCCCGGGGTGCGGCTCTGGTCAGCATCACCCTTGTGTTTCAGCGTAGTATTTCACCCAGCGGAGAGCAAGCGGTCCCTCTCCCGACGCCGGTGTCCCCAGTTCAGTGTTGCCCGTCAGCTCTGCACTCCCCCAGGGCTACTCTCCAAAGGATGTCCGTGCCCCTTCCCGAGGGCAGTGGGGCTCTCCGCCGCCTTAGTCCGCAGCCAGAGGCACCCGGCGTGCCCGCACACGGACCAAGCCCGCCTCCGTACGCCGGCGAGCTTCGGCAGCGCTGCTACTGCCCGCTCCTCCTCACCCTTCCCAGCAGCCGTGTCACAGCCGACCCCTTCGTTCTGCTGTGCAGGCACAAGGCGCATGCTGTGCGGGCCAAGCTGGTGAACTGATGGCAGCTGTGCGTTAAAAAAGGTTATCATTTATACCCGAGCGTATCTGGTTTCCAGGAAAAAAAAAATCTAGTCTTTGTAGCATAGATCAGGTACCTAAGAAAATCTTAACCAAAAGCCCCAAAACAGCATCTCAGAATGCTCTTTTCATCCTCTATAACAAGCCACTGCAGTTCATTTACAAGCCATCGCACAGTCATGCAGACCTTAAAAAAGATATTATTACAGTGATGAGATAAGCAAGTTATCTCAGCACCATCAAAATGGAGATCAGACACACACAATCCAGCAGTATGGAGTAGTACCCTTCAGTGGTATTACATAACACACATTACAAACAGACAGATGCAAAAAGTTTTGGCTCATCATCACAAACCCACCACTTATTACAGACCCCTGAAAAGTCATCTGAAAAGCAAAACACGATCTCTTTTTTGGGGTGCTACCCAAAAAATCTTTGTAACACAGATTTAATTCTTTCCTTGAATATAAACAAGTCAAACAGCACTTAAGAGATTTCTGTTTCCATATTGCTTCTTAATGTTTAACTTGCCTCCCTCTCCCTCTTCTTTCAGGAGAAATTATTTTTTCACACTTTCAGACATCCATATTTTTGACATGTCCACAACTGGGTGCCAGAATTGAGTGCTCTGATGTCCTTTAAGATTTTCTTTTTTGAAATCCAGATCTGTTTCAAATCTAGCCTTCTATTTATTTTCAGTAGAATTTATTCAAACCACAGTTATTTTATACAGTTCATTGGAGTCCAAAGAACATTTAGCAAAGTTAAAATGCAAATAAAGTTTAGATGAGAGTAATGAAAATAAAGATAACTCAAAAATAATACAATTATCACTGAATTTAAAAAACACTGCATACTTTGAGTACAATTTAAACAACAGCTTTAGAAATCTACTGATGGAAGACAATATAGACAAAATTTAGTTTTACAATGAACTTTAATATTTCAATCTCTTAAAACACAAATAAGAGCGTGCATTTACACACAAACAGTTTTACAGAACAAAGTTATCAGAAAGATTGTATCATGAAGTCACTATCTTCAGCAGACATCATCGTGCATCAAAAACTACCACTGGAATAATGCAGTTAAAGAAAAAATATGTTGTGGTTGAAAAAAAGATGGGGGAGAGGAAAAGACACTGTCTAAATCTAATCACAACTTTCTACATAAAGTATTTCAAAAGTCATCTTTAAGAAGATGCTGGATAATATCAACAACTCCCAGTATGTTACCCAGCAGACTATAGTAACTTAATCTAGAAAGAAAATGGAAAAAAAAAAAAGACAAAGTGGCAGAAAAGAAATCCAGGTGCCAAATAACACTGCAGAGATTGTTCTATAGTAGTTTGCTCTCCTGTATTGATTTTTGACTCTGAAGAATTGCTATGTGATTTTTTGAATCTTCTATTCTGTTTCCCCTTGTCTCCATCCACAGCTCTCCAAAGGCATTCAAGTGCACTTGTAAAAGGATACATCTTTTTGTCCTTTTCTTGTACATTATTCTGTAGCCACATTCTCTGCACCTGATAGGATCTCTTGCCTTTATTTCATTTTCTGTATGACATTCTGATGTTATGGAGGAAGAAAAAGGAAGTGGGGGCAAAGAAGAACAGCACTGTTAATGCACAGATAACTTAGAAAAGTTGTGATAGTCAAATTCCTACTTGTGGCAAACAAACATAGCAAGTGCAATGAATCTGTATCAAGAGCTCAAAGGTAACAAGATACCATGAAAAAAAAAGAAAAAGAGAAAATAAAAAGCAAGCTTCACTTACATTAAGATAAAAGAGAATCTTGGTGAAAATCACTCAAATATTACTGCATAGAACACATTCCACACTTGATACTAGATCATCTACTAATGAAAATTTCAGTTCATCCCTCCAAAGCACAAAGACAAAAGACAAAATATTCCAGGGATTGCTGAAAATCAACAATTTTTAAGTTGTTGATTTGTCTATGGGTAAGAGAGAATGTGACTGCTGTACTTCAGGGAAAGCTGAGTGCCCTTACAGCACTGTCAATAAAACATACAGAGATGGAGGAGCTCCAGGGAATTACCTCCACAACACTGTGTATGTACCCCATACACGTGCCACCATCACTGCATAAAGCTTTAAACATCATCAGGACATACACTGCAACTATTTGTATCTATGCACCCTTCAGTGTAATAACTAAGCACCATTCATTATTAAAACACCAAATCTCCAGTATCAAGTAATAAAAAAATTAGTAATGTCTTTTCTTTACCTCCACAAATGTAAATCATTGGCTGCTGCTTTGGAGGCTGAACATCCTTCTGTGAATCCATGTTCTAAAACAAAAAATACACAATACGCACATTAGCTTGGGTGTGGGATTTTTTGGTTTGTTTTTTGTTTCCAAGGCATATACAATCACTTTAATATCTCAAGCTAAAGGTAAGAGAACATGAAACCACTTCCTCAAAAGTAAATACAAACAAATTCCATTTATATTTGATGCACAGGGCATGGGTTAATTCAGGCTGAAAGAGACTTCAGAAAGTCATTTAGTTTGACTTCTTAAAAGCAAAGTAACATCAGGTTCCACAGAGCTTTACCACTCTGGTATAGAAAATATCTAAGGATGAGGACAACGTGATGTTTTATATTAAACAGTATTTTAAACATTAAAGACCAATGAGTAATATTTTTTTCCTCTTTCCTGCCAACGTTAAGAATTTCCTTGCTGGAAATATAAAGTTCAATAATTTATTACATGCCACTCATGTAACAATGATGCCAACAAAGAAGGTAAGCCTTGTCATTTTTCCTCCCCCTGTGACACACTAGCTAACCTGATACACTATTTGTTGTTCTAAGGTATTAGAAATGCTGGGAACAGACTGTGTGTAGAAGAGTAGCAGAAAATAAAAAGCAAAACAAAACAAAACCCAAAAAACCCCCAAAAAAACCCCAAAAAAACCAAACCAAAAAAACCAAAACTAAAAACCCCAAACAATGAGTGGCCATAGATGAAATTCAATCCTTCAAATCCTACCAAATCAAGAGTAATAACTCAATGCTATTCTCCAAACAGCTCTTAATGTCCTATAATGGTTTTGATTGTTCAGACTTTAATTTAAAGACAAGTATTTCTTCATGGCATCAGACTAAATAGTTACATATACTCCACAAACACTCTACCAATCTTTAAGTAATCCTATCCTAACATGTAAATGTCCTTTCAACCATGAATTTAAAGGTGGTTACTGTACATAGATAAACACTTTTTCCCCACCAAATTTAAGTCTAGACAAGAACATGAATATTTCCTATTAAGTTTTTGGAGGCTGCTGTTTTCTGTATTGCTGTTCTGACACAGTAGACAAGAATTCCTAACCCTTATGCCAGTAAATAGCCTTCTTGATGCTTCCTTATGAGAATAGCTCTCTGATGCTTTTGCTTACAGCAAATATTATTTCCCTCAGCTTCAGCATTTGTTTCAGCATAAATTCAGCTGGGAAAACTATGATACTGAAAACAGGGCAGACACATTTCATACTTTATGAGTCTGATCAACACCTGACAAACCATCTTTTTAAAACTCCCACTACGTCACTTCATTTAGGAGAACTGGAAAGAATCCATTAAACTCTACAGCTTTCGAGTATGGTACACCATAATCATAGTGGCATCTTAACTCACGTGTGCTACAGTTTTTTTGTGTCAGCACGTTGCAGTAAGTTATGTGCAGCCATCCATTACCACTGGAAAAGAGCAGACATCTAAAACACAGCTGAACTAAGGTGGATCACAGTTGTAGCTAAATAACCTGGGGTAGTGCTTCCTGTGCAGTAAAATTATACTGCTGCTAAGGGCAGCAGTGAATTCAGTTCTGTGAATGTAGGGAGGTACCATAGTTTAGCTGGCCTTCACACACCCTGCAGCCCTAAGTGCCACCAAGCTGGCAGAGCCCACAGGCCCAGTGATGCACCAACATGTGCTGGGGTGCAGCCAGAATCCATTGCAGAGACATGGGGGTACCATGTACAAGTCACCTCAGCAAAGCACAGAATGGGAAAGGCTGGAAGGGACACCAGTGGGTCACCTGGTCCAACCTCCCCATTTAAGCAGGATCATTCTAGAGCACGTGGCACAGGAGTGCACCCAGATGGTCTCTGAGTATCTCCAGTGAGGGGGACTCTGCAACCTCTCTGAACAATCTGTTCAGTGAGCAGTCACCCGCACTGTAAAGAAGTTCTTCCTCCTATTCAGGTCGAACTTCTTATGCCTCAGTTTCTGCCTGCTGCCTATTGTCCTAGTGCTTGGCACCAACCAGAGGAGCCTGGCTTCATCTTCTTGGCAACCCCCGCTTCAGATATTTTTACATATCAATGAGGTCCTCTCTCCGAGCATCTTTCATGCACCCGTAAAAGAGGCCAACCCGCTCCTTCACGTCCCGCAGAGCCCGCGAAGGAGAGCGGCAAACAGCCCTCACAGGGAACGGGCCCCAGGCCCCCCATCCCGCCCCAATTCCGACCTCCGTCCCGCGGGTCTGGCACGCAGAAGCGAAGCCCACGAGCCTGGCCTGGCCTGGCCTGGCCTGGCCTGGCCTGGCCTGGTCCCGTCCCGTCCCGTCCCGTCCCGGCCCGGCCCTTCCCTTCCCTTCTCACCACGGCCGCACCAGCACCGCCCAGCAGCGAAGGGAACACCCGAAGGAGCCGCCCGCCGCTCCCGCCGCTCCGCCGGCCTCGCCGCTTCCCCGGCGCACGCTGATGACGCGCGCGCGGCGCCCGCGGGGCGGGCCGTGCTTCGCGCCGCCAATGGTAATGAGGCTGAGAAAGTAACAAATATTCCATTCTGGGTGTTAGCCACCTGGGGGAAAAAAAAAGGAGAAAAAAAAAGGCACACAGATTACAGATTATTTTAAGACACAAGCTTCCATACGAATAGCAGCGTCAATTGTCAATGAAGAAAGTAGGCAGCTGCATGGTTAGGTAAAATGCGCCCCAAGGTACCCGGTGTTTTCATTCTTTTATTTAGCTGTACCCAACATATTCGGGATAGAGAATGCCCCGCGCCAGACCTGGTCATACAGCTGCCGAGTTTTAAACCACCGAGGTGTTCTACCTCAAGATCCCCTCTGTTTTCAGAAGCATTTTAACAGAAATGTCGTGGATAAACCCGGCATCCTTGATATTTTGATGCCGTGGTCGGTATCATATGTACCCACATGAAGCCAGACTTACATACTACAAACATATATATTGCACATTTTAAGTGTCAGGTTCTGTGATGAAAGAAGTTCATGTGTCGGTATTTCCCGATGAACTAAACTAAAGCAGTGCGGGCAAGATTTGAAACGACACCGCTTGCTCTTTGTCACTGGCTCCACCTCGCTTGCGGTAGGAATTTTGAATCTTCGACTGACAGTTTGTCTAATTAGGTATCTTTGCTGTATTTCTTTCCTCCCTCTCCCCCCCATGTTTAACGAATACTATGTTTTGTGAACATGCCCATTTAAACTACTAGATCGTTCTAAGGTTCCCTAATTTGAGGAAAGATCTCTTTCTGTTTCTGAATATTGAATGAAAATTGTTTCCTAAGCATCCAAATTAGTACGGATGAGGTTTTATCAGTTGTAATTCATTGATGTTCTCCTACCAGCAAATGACCTTCATATAGGACTTGTAACTTCCCTAAAATGAACTCAGATAATAGAAAATAATTGTAGTTTTCCTAATTTTGTGTTTAAATTAAACGTAATAAAATCACAGAAATGGCTTCAGACTTGCTTCTTCACACTGCTCTTTAAGAATAAAGCTAAACATAACTTTTGGAATGTCAGAATGAAGCACGGGCAAGAAAAATGGTTTGTAAAAGGCAGAGGTATTGTTATAGGTCACTACTTGCATCCGCTCCTCTGCTACGGAGCCGCTGGTATGGGGGTGTACCAAGAAGTTTAAACAGAGGAGAAAAACAGCCTCTCTCTTGGTAAACGCATGGTAAGAAATTAGCAAATCCTAAAAAAGCAAATAGCAACTCCCACCCCCCCCCCTCCCCACCCCCCCCGGTATTATTTCTCTAGGCTCGTTAGTATTTTAAAAATGCGTTTGTCAACCGACAAATTTAAAAGGACTTAATAAAAATATGTCCATGAAGAATTTAGTTAATCCTCTGAAAATAAAGTTTCTATTATTAATAAAGAAATAATGTAATTGTTTGATTATGGGCATCCTTTCAACATTCACTTGGAAAAATAAGATGCTTTACCAGATCTTAAAACTTCGGTTACTTCAGCCGTTTCCGATAAAATCCGCCCCTTACGAGAGGAGCGCTTTGGTAAGTCCCGTTCTCATCTGCTGGTAAATTCTAGCCCTAAAGATGCTCCTTCGGATTTAGTGTAGCAGAGTGTTGAGACTGTGTGAGAGACTCCCACTGTACTGTAAAGTGAAATAATTCTTGCGGAATGGGTAGGCAAATGAGTGTCGAGATGGAGAAGGCACAGGGGTACAGGTACTTTAGACAGGGGAAGGAAATGCAGCCGTAACCGAGCGCAGTGCGAGTGTTGCAGAATGTTTCACCTAGTTTCACCTGTTATCATTCTCAGGTTTTGGTTGGGTTTTTTGTTTTTGTTGTTATTTTTGTTTTGTTTGTTTTTGTTAAAACACACTTTGTAGTGTGACTTCTGTGTATTGCATAAAATGTCGCAATTACGACTTGTTAAATTTCTGGATATTTTTGATCCAGCTCGCATAAATCCATCCAGGTTTGAGTGACGGAGCCCGAGCTTGCAGCGGCTGTGTCCCACTAGTAAGCTTCCAGGTTTACTGAGAAGGTATTTTATAAATAAGTACAAATATTTGAAAAACAATTTTATTCAGTTCCTGCGAAACAGACGGTCCTACAGAAAGCACTTTCAGAAAAGTTCTACTACCTTAAAGAAAGTTTTTAATGTTTTCTCCTTTTAAAAAGGAAGGGGGAGATACTCCAAAACCCTTTCGCTTTTTAGCCATAACTGTTACCTTGTAGTCAAATAAAGCGATATTCTTTCCCTAAAAATGTCTGCTTCCGCCGGCTGAGTCGGGAACTTTTAACCCCTTATTTCCTCGGGCCCCTCTCAGGCTGCCTCACACCAGGAGGAGCGGAGTTGCCAAAGGGGAAGGCTGAGAAATTGCCAGACCCCACGAACAGAGGTTACTTTACTAAAACCGGGAGTTTTCTTATTAAAACGTAGGTGTTGCTTTTAGAGTCGGTTTTAGGTCTGACATTCCCCATCCCGCCGGTGTGAAGCCTTACGTTATCCTTACCGAGCCCAGGAAAAACAGCCATCCATGTGGTCATTGTTTTGGCGGGTTTGTGTTTAGGTTTATTTTCGTTTACAAAAAACCTAAAACCACAGCAAAACTCAGCCGCCAGTTTCTGAATTACTACAAGATTTTAAACAAATTAGACGGGAATAGCCCGTAGGCCGTTCAGGACAGGACAAGATGTGGAAAATGTGCTCTACACTGTAGCCAGGGAGAATGGTCCTTCCTGGAATCTCGGGCAAAAAGTACACGGGGAGATTTAAGGAGAACCTACGCAGTGCGGGAGTTAGGAATCCTCCTCCCGACTGCTTTGAAGGTGATGTACTAGACAAACGCCCTATGACTGTTTAGTCCTGGGCTGTCGGGTAAAAAGGTGCTAATTAACTCAAATTAACTAGCGCCCTTATAACCCAAGCTTAAAGGCTGTGGTGCAGATAAGGATTATTCGCTGTGAATGCCTCAGGCACCCCTGAGCGCCGGCGCCCCTGCGCCTCCGCCCCCCATTCCCCTCCACCGTAGGGAGCGGAGTGGGCTCTGGCAGAGGCGGGAAAACCTCACCCTCACTGGGCGCCTCTGGGGAAGCAGAGCAGGGGCAGGAGCGATTCAGGGGCGCTTTAACAGTGGGCTGGGTGCGGCGGGGACCGTGGGGCTGAAGTGTAAAGCGTGAGGAGCGGGGCAAGCCTCGCCGCTGTTCCCTCACGTCCCCGCGGGGCGGGCTGGGCACTCCCGGTCTCCTCAGGCTCCCGGCCGGGCCAGCGCGGAGGGGGCGGGGAGGCAGCGGTTGGTCAGGGCGGGTAGTTCAAAGCCGAGCGAGGGAAAGCGGCGGCGGCCGCACGCGAGGGGCCGGTGTGGGTGGGGAGAGCGAAGCGGCTCCTCGCCAAGGGCAACGGGCCCGGGGCCGGGCGGCGAGAGCTGCTGAAGTTCCTCCAGCCCGCCTTCCCTCCTGCTCCTCGCTTTCAGCCCTGCTCGGGGTGCCCTGCCGCCGCCTCAGCTGCTCCCGGTGGGAGGGCGGCCTCCAGGCTCCGCTCTGTGCCCACCGGTTTGCCCGGCGAGAAAGCGAAGCCGTTGCTTTGCTCGTGTCCGGCATCCCAGGGGACCGAGAGACCCTCGGGTGCTGGTCCTCAGCTGCGTCTCTATTATCGCCATCGCTGGGTAATTAGGCTTTGCAGTTAACACATGTATTTGTGAAGTGAAAACTCTCTTGGCTGGGTAATGTTTCTCTTGCACCTCTTTCTTTTCTCTCCACATACTTTCTTACTTCAGGTTATCACTAGGTAAGCAATACTTTGAATACACCGCATTTGCTCTGGAAGATCTTGATTTGCTTCACAAATTAGGGTAAGTGACCCACATCATGCAGACAGGACTTGGCTGTGTCATCTTCAGTGTTATTACCTGGAAGGTATCAGTGACTTTGGGGCCGAAGAGCGGAGTCTGTTTTACTGCAGATACCATATCTGTTTAAATAACAGCAAAAATACTTCTGTGTCACTAAGACTTTGTCTTTATCTGTTTTGTTAGCAGTGTTCAACAGTGATTTAAAAAAAAAAGGCAGAAAATGTCTTGTTCAATGCATAAGTGTTCTGTGTGTATTACTGAGGAATATAAGTGGCTAGGAACAGGTGTGACTCCATCCTAGAATTTATGTCTCCATGGAGATACCATTTATATTGTCTTCTAGTAACCAGCATTTTCACCTCTTTAGGGTGTTTGGGAAGACTAAACTTGTTAGAAATTATTCGTTGTCCAAATCTATGAATCCCATACTAAATTTAGTTTGGGTCTCTGAATATGAATTATTTTGTCCAGTAAACTCCCAGAAAATTTGCAGTTGTCTTGTAAATTTGATTTGAGAGTGGCAAAGTTAATAATAGATATGAGAAATGCACAGAGCACATAAATCTGTCCTTAGTAGATATTGATTTTGTTACTTCCTCTGTAACTGACTAGGTGTGACCAGCCTCTCCTTCCCTGCACATCTGTTTGATCACATCTAACACAAAGCTAATAAAACTTCCAGGAACTAGTTAGATCCCCAAATGAAAAAGGTGTGGTGTTATGGCTCAAATTTAGTAGATTAAATTCTCATAATAAAAAAGAAGTGCTTATAAAAGGTAGTGTTATAAGAGATTTTGTTAGGTATCTCTTGTGAATAGAAATAGACTCTTGTTCTATTATGAGAAATGTTTAGCACCTCTGAAAGGCTTTTCCTTTTGTATTTGTAAAATGAGACTTTGTATTAAATTAAAGCTTAATTTGTACAGGTACTACAT